TCACAATGAGGAGACACTATTGCAGTGTATTTCACTAAATCGAAAGTGTTATGGGCAGAATATGATGTTTTGGTGCCTTCTCCAAATTGTGGATGCCCACAATCAAAGGAACATGTAACACAGCTTCAACAACAAAGGTTGATGCAATTTTTGAATTGTCTTAATGACACATATTATCAGGCTCGGAGACAGATTTGATGAAAACCACTGAGCCAATATTGAATCAAGTGTATTCCATGATTACACAAGATGAGAGTCAGCAGTTGGTTATTGGAAATGCTGGAGCAGAAAGAGTAGATTCTTTGGCCTTACAAGCAGGAAGAGGTCAAATACCACGCTGAAGAAACAGTCCTTACAATGTGAATATTGTCACATGAAAGGGACATACTAAAGAAAATTATTTTAACATCATTGGATATCTAGAAGATTATAAAGGAAGGAAAGAGTACCAGTCTGAAGAGACTAGACCTAACAATGCTTATCAGCACAAAGAGTTTAGGCCAAGAGGCAATCTCACAGCTGCAAACAATGCAGCTGCATCTGGGAATATTGGAACACAAGGTCGTCCACAGGTCAAGAGTGGGGATTACTTCTTCACAAAGGAACAATACCAGAAAATTCTGAACCTTCTTGGCAAGGATGGACCAAGTGACAACCAGGCACAAGCACAAACTCACACTCAAACACAAGCTCACATGGCAGGTATAATCGACTGTGGAAAATAATAATTGGATAGTGGATTCAGGAGCCACACATCACATAGTATCTACAATGGGTTTATTGCGTAATATGTAAAGTATGCATAATCTAGGGAAGGAGAAAGTGAAGTTATCTAATGGAGACAGTACAGATATCACACATGTTGGTAGTTCTTGGTTGACAGGAGATACTCAGTTAAAAAATGTACTTGATGTCCCTGATTTTAAATTCAACTCGATGTCAGTCTCAAAGTTAACTAGAGACTTATCATGTGCTGCTATTTCCTACCTAAAATCTGTGTATTTCAGGACCTCTACAATGGGAGAGTGAAACAAATTGGTAAAGAAGATGATGGATTATACATGGTGAAAGGAAGAGGAATCGGGGAGTTGATATCCAATGCCAATGTTGTTAAGGAATCTGGAGTCTCAAACAATCTGTGGCACAAAAGATTAGGACATGTTTCTACACGTGTGATGCAACATATTTCTTTTCTTCAGCATAATATAGATACTTCAATACAGAATAAGTGCCCTGTTTGCCCATTAGCTAAACAGTCTAGACTATACTTTCCAAACATTGAAAATAAAAGTGTTAAGCCTTTCCAATTAGTGCATATGGATGTGTGGGGACCCTATAAGGTTGCTACTCATGATAAGAAACATTATTTTCTTACTATAGTAGATGACTACTCTAGGTCAAATCGATTTTTTTGATGCAATTGAAGAATGAAACCATAGTTTTTTTTTAAAACAGTTCCTTTATATGGTTCAAATCCAATTTGATACCTCAGCCAAGATAATCAGAACAAATAATGGTTCAGAGTTCTTTAATTAACAACGGAATGAATTTTTGCAGGGTAATGGTACGATTCATCAAAGTAGTTGTGTTTACACTCCATTACAAAATAGAGTTGTAGAGAGAAAACATACGCATATTTCAGATATTGCTAGAGCGTAGAATTTTGAGGCACATACTCCTCATAAGTTTTGGGGTGAATGTGTGCAAACTGTTGTGTATATTCTTAACAGGGTGCCATCTAGGATTCTGGGAGGCAAGAGCCCTTTTGAGTTGTTGTATGGGAGAGAACCATCATTGGTTCACATAAGAGTGTTTGGTTGCTTGTGTTTTGCCACAAATGTACTAAAGGAAGATAAATTTGCAGCAAGAGCAAGAAAAGATGTGCTCATGGGATATTCCACAACTCAAAAAGGATACAGGTTATATGATCTCACTACTAAAACTTTTTTCGTTAGCAGGGATGCCAATTTTAGGGAATTAGAATTCCCATTCATGCAGCCACAACATGTCAGCCAATCTATCTCAACTATGGAACAGTGCACAGACTTCCTAACCATCCCTAGTGAAGCACTTACTCCAGTTGTGAGAGGTTCCTTGCCAGAATCTGATGAGCATACTGCACATATAACACCTCCTTTGGAGCCAGCACCAGAAGAAGTAGCAGCAGAACCAATTTCCACCAGTGACGCCAATGACACAGTTCAGGATGTAGCAGCAGCTACAGGATCAGAGACCTTAGCTACATTGCCCATGCCAAGTGAGTCAGCAAGCATACATCCAGCGATGATCTCACAGAGTCAATATCTATTCCAACTCACAGGCAGTCCACTAGGACAAAAAATCCACCAATTTGGATGCAAGATTACATTGTGAAGGGCCCTAAATCCTCACATTGAGCTTATACTATATCAAACTACCTATCATATAATGGAGTGACACAACAATACAAAGACTATGTCTTGGCTTTTTCAGTCCTTAGAGAACCACAGACTTTCAGAGAAGCAACCCAGGATCCCAAGTGGATAGAAGCTATGCAACAAGAAATTCATGCCTTAGATGAAAACAAAACATGGGAAGTAGTAGACTTACTACCAAGGAAGAACACTATTGGTTCTAAATGGGTTTACAAGATCAAATACAAGGGTAATGGAGAGGTTGAGAGGTTCAAAGCTCGACTAGTAGCTAAGGGATACAACCAACAAGAAGGCTAAGACTACAACGAAACTTTCTCTCCAGTGGCCAAGATGGTCACTGTGAGATCAGTCATTTCCTTAGCTGCCTCTAGAGATTGGGGTTTATACCAAATGGATGTGTTTAGTGCATTCTTACAAGGAGACCTATTAGAAGAAGTGTACATGGCCTTACCCCAAGGTTTCCAAAGATAGGGGGAGCAGAAGGTATGTAGATTGTTGAAGTCTCTGTATGGCATTAAACAGACACCTAGGAAATGAAATTTAAAGCTTACAAAAGCTCTATTGAAGGCATGGTTTAGTCAAAGTGCTTTTGATTCTTCCTTGTTTACTAAGAGGCGCTACAAAAAAAACTGGAATTAGCTACGAACATCGTCGCTAATCTATCGCTTAAGCGCTCGTAGCTAGCAGAATTTCTTGATAATCCGTTGCTAATCTGTCGCTAAATGAGATTAGCGATGAATTTTTCTGTTTAGCTACAGAATTTGTCCGTCGCTAGAACCTGATTTTTTAGTAGTGAGGTCCAATTGTCACATTGTTGTGGTATTAATCTATGTTGATGATCTGCTTCTTATTGGTAGTAGCAAGATTCTTATTGATGAGGCAAAGGCTGTTCTACATCAGGAGTTCAAAGTGAAAGACTTAGGGAAATTAAGATACTTTCTTGGTATTGAGGTTATGACATCCAAGCATGACATTCTCCTCAACCAGAGGAAGTGCACCCTTGAGCTCATTTCTGAGTTGAGCCTTAGTGCAGCTAAGCCTGCTATCACACCTCGTGAGATTAATCAGAAGTTGACTTCTGTAGAGTTTGACAAAGTTGCAGGGCTTCAGAATTCAGATCCCTTAATGGATGTTACTAGCTATCAAAAGCTAATTGGGAAATTGTTATATCTTATAGTCACACGACCTAATATTTGTTATGCAGTGCAAAGCCTCAATCAATTCATGCAGGCTTCAAAGAAGTCTCACATGGATGCAGCTACCAGGGTTGTCAAATATCTTAAAAATGCACTCGGACTTGGTGTTTTACTAAGGAGGGAATCTGCACAATCTCTACTTGGGTTTTGTGACTCAGATTGGGGTGCCTGTCCTGTTACTAAAAGATCGGTTAGTGGTTATTTGATCAAGTTTGGCAGTTCTCTTATCTCTTGGAAGTCTAAAAAATAGCACATTGTTTCCATAAGTAGTGCATAGGTAGAGTACAAGAGTATGGCCTCAGCAGTTGCTAAAATCACTTGGTTGCTAGGCTTGTTTGCTGAGCTTAGAGTTACCATTCAGCAGCCAGTTACCTCGTGTTGTGATAATAGAGCTGCAATGCAGATTGCTGGAAATTCCATTTTTCATGAACGCACCAAACATATCTAAATTGATTGCCACTTCATTCGTGAGAAGATAAAGCAGGGGTTGCTGGCTACTCAGTATGTTCATACATCACATCAACTGGCAGACTTACTTACTAAGGGACTGACTGCTACGCAACACAAATTTTTGTTAGGCAAGTTGGGTGTGTTGAACATTCTTCACCCTCCAGCTTGAAGGGGAGTATTGTAATATTGTAGTTAGTTAGTGGTTTCTTAGTTGAAGGACTTATTTGTACACAGTAGAAGTTAGAGGGCTTTCTTGTTATTTAGGGAGTTATGTTAGTTGTATATAAACACTGTTATTCAGTTATGAGAAAACATTTTCCTTTCCCGCAGAGCTTCTTCTCGATTCTTCTTCTCCAAGTCTCTCTCGAGATACTCTAACATTACTCCCCTAATGTGGGACTTTTCGGGGCGAATCCAGATTTAATCGAGCCCCAACACAGGTGTTCAACACCGGATAGGAAACCAAAAATAACAAAAGGGGCAGCTTGGGAAATTTGAAAGTTATATATATGGACTTCTATGCTCCACCTAAAAGAAGATGACTTCACGAAGCAAATTATTTATTAGACAATTAATGGATTAGGACTTCTGGAGTCAGCTGCCAATATATTCATTATACTTGGTCAAATCTTAGGAGAATGTCAACTCTACCCTTTAAAAATAAAGGTCAAATACTTTATTCTTTCATGTCAGCAGTATATTTTTCTAAGCTCTAAATAACTAATTAATTAATGATATCTCCAACAATAATGATGAATTAAACATATATTTATCCATCACTGAGAATTCTGTTGCTTATATATATAAAAATTTATCCAGAACGCATAAATTATTTTTTCTAAAATTCTAAACCGATAAACTCAAAATCCTAACTTCGGTAAATACATAGCAAGATCAACAAATTGCAGCTGATGAGAGTTGATATAGGAGATATATATGGTACATCAGTTTATGTCCATGTATATATATATATATATATGTAGAATTAATAGAAAAATATGTACATTTATATCGACCCAACGTGTTTAAAATTGAGGCATAGTTGTTATTGTTTATGCGCGGCGCAGTACAAATCTAATCCATGTTATATTTTGTAAACATTGATACAGGTACTAAACATAATCCTTTTTTCTTTAGTTCTGTACAGTCATTTTCCTTTGTAGAAACATTCAATCCACTAGTCATCATCATCTGGCCACTGGTATTTCCCTTTCCCTGTTGAAACCAAAATTCCAAAATAAATTTCTTTGAGTACAAATGACAAGTAACTATATAGCTACAGTGTTATAATCACACCTTTAATTTGAATTATTCTTTTATTTTAAGTTTTTTATTTTACCGTTAATAGCATGCTTTTATAGTAAATAACATACTAGAAGTTTTTATTAGAGTACTTTTGATATGTTAGAAGGGGAGCCTTGGCGTAACTGGTACTGCCATGTGACCAAGAGGTCACGGGTTCAAGCTGCGAAAACAACCTCTTGTAGAAATACGAGGTAAGACTGCGTACAATAGACCCTTATGGTCCAGCCCTTCCTCGGACCCCGCGCATAGCGGAAGCTTAGTACATCGAGCTACTTTTTTTTACTTTTGATATGTTACCAGAAATAAATCTTTATGAAATTTTGAAACCAGATAATATACTGTCATATAAAGTGAAACAAAGGGAATAATAATTTATCAAACTCCGGTTTTTTCAATTCATATCTCTTTTTTTTACCTCAAAAATACTGGAAGTGCTCTTCCCTTTCTGACTAATGCACAACTGATCCATATAAGAAACCTGTAAAATAAAAGAAATAGAAGATGAGAAAAATGAGAGAAAAATAAGAATAAGAGAACAAGAGCCTTAAGGAAAGTAAATAAAAAGAAGAAAACCAGATAGTCATATAAGTAAAATTTGCTTTATAGAAGTTATGATAATATAAGGTTGTGGCGGAGCGGTAACAACTCTTCCGGAGGCGGAGTCAGAATTCAAAGTTTATGGGTTCGGAATTCTAATACGTTCAAGTTACTGCATTCTAATTTAATAATTTTTACATATTCAATAAAATTTTTAAGGCAAATATAGGGTTTGTATTAAAGCTTTTGGGTTCGGCCGAAACCCGTAACCTGTGTTCTAGCTCCGCCCTGGACTCATTCATCCTTAACAAACAACAACAACAACAACAACAACCACCCAGTGTAATCCCACAAGTGGAGCCTGGGGAGGGTAATGTGTACGCAGACCTTACCCTACCCCGAGGGAGTAAAGAGGTTGTTTCGCAAAGATCCTCGGCTCCTTCATTCTTAACCAGAAGTCTCAAATACGAAACTTGACTATGGAAGTTACCTTTGCTAGGGAGCACTTAACTCTCTAACGTGGCACTTCTCGACATGAATCTGAACTTAATCAGGGCCTAGTACACGGATACAGAACACTGGGTAAGAAATCAAGAAAAATATTTGTGGTATTCTTGGACTGACCTTGGGGCTATTGACAGGTGAACTAGCAGTATCTTCAAGATCATCATCAACTGCTGCTGCTGCTGCTCTTTTCATCTTTCTCTTTTTGGAACCAAAATTCTTATTATTTTCATTAATATCTATAGCACCATTTCTATTATTGGTAAGTTCATAAGGTGCTAAAGAAGCAGCATCAGAAAAAAGGGAATTATTTTCAAAGCCAGAATATGAAGAAGTAATTTGTTCATTATTGTTGGACATGAAATCTTGTAAATAGAATGTCCAACTACTCTCCTCTGGATTTTCTTCTGAGTAATTTGTACTATAAGAAAAACCCTTATTACATGCAGAATAATTATCCATTTACAATGAAAAGAAGAAATGGATAAAAAAAAAATTACGAAAAAGGGCCAAAAATACTCCTGAACTATCGGAAATAGGGCACTTTTACCCTCCGTTATCTTTAGGTTTTCTTGGTATAGTCTCACAGAAATTCAGAAAGATGCTGAGAATTTATATAGAGGAATAAGAATACCAGAAATGAGTTTTTTCTTTTTTTTTGTGGGGGGTGGGGGGGGGGGGGGTAGGGGTATTGGAATCTTGAGTGTGGGCCATAGGAGAGTTGAAAAAGAGAAGTTTAGAAGATGCAACAGAAAAAATAGATGAGAGAGAGAGAAGTTAGAAGGATTTGACATTTTATGATTTTAGGATTAAATTAGTAGAACAAAGATTTGCAGAATCTAATTTTCTATGGTGTTATTTTCTTTCAATTTAATATATTGAAATGGTCATTAGGTCATAAAATGACTTAGACTTTTTCATAAGTCATTTTCTCCCTTCCCTTTTGAGCTTTCTTTATAGTTTTTACAAACTTCTTAAAAACTCATTATTACTATTTACTAGTAATTAGGGCAGCTCGGTGCACAAAGTATCCCGCATTCACACATGGTCCGAAAAAGGGCCGCACCCGACCCCAAGGGGCTCTAATATAGGTAATCGACTCTGATGCAAGTATCAGTGACTGATTCCACGGCTTGAATCCGTAACTTATTGGTCACACAGAAATGACTTTACCATTGCTCCAAGGCCACCTTTCGTCATTATTACAAGTAATATATTAGTAATATTTTTTTAGAAGCCAAAAAGAAAAAGAAGTCATTATTTAGATAGAATTAGGGCAGGGGGTAGGAAAAGTACAAGAAAAATAAAAAGAGAGGATAAGGCCTAAGAAGAAAAAGAAGAATATTGGATTTTAAAAGGTAGAGTGCTATTTTCTTGCTAATTATTCATCTATTTAATGAAAAATGATTTATTGATAAAAGTTAGTGATTGTCAACACATGAGACCTTATAATTGGATGAGAATTATGTCTTGACTTCAGAAATTAGAGGCAAGTGTATAATAACAGTTTGACAAAACAATTTTTCTAAAGTATTTAAGGATCTTATGCTAAGAGATTTGATAATCGATCACCACTAATTTAGTATCCTCCCTGACGTATCCACAACATTTTTCATTCTAATAATTGTCATTTGTTTTCTAAGAATGCCATTATCTATGCAATTTTCGTACACAGTGTCTGTCTCAATTTATGTGGCATTGTTTGATTGATATAGATTTTAAAGGAAAAAAATAAAAAATTTAAAATTTGTAATCTAAAACAAATCATATATATTTATGCTCTCGGGCTCAATGTATTTATTTTCCAGTACATGTACTTTAGATAGAGATATTGAAAAGGAAAAAACTTAGAACAAAAAATTAGGTAAGACAAAGATTGACAAGTACAAACATGAATAGAGAGACAAGTACATTTTAGTGCTCGGTTTGAGTTAAATTCTACAAAGTGCATTTCAGAGACAAGAAGAAAAAACAACAAACTAAATTCTTGATGACTAATTGCAATCAAGTTACGTTGGATTAACAGCTTGTTTGGATGGTCGTTACATATTGTATTGTATCGTATTATTATATTAATTACGATGTTTCTTTTGACTGTTACTTAAATTTTATTGTATCGTATCGTTAAATCCATCGTTATGTAACGACGAAATGTGTCACTTTATGTAACGACCGATTCGGTGTGGTTGTGTCGTTATCTTGTCTTTTTCTCTCATCTCACCCTTCATTATAATTAAATAATTTTATTTTATCATTTACCCTACCTTTTTATATAATAAATTTATCTCGTATCATAATTTTTCTTTATAATATTGCAAATTTATTCTTCATATTGGTGGTGCATGATATCATGAAATTACGGCAAACGATACATTCTATCCAAACATTGTATTCATCAAATGATACAGTACAATAAAATACCATACGATACATTATGAAACGATATGTAACTACCGTCCAAACAAGCTGTAAGAGACTATTCATAGATTTTTGCTAGTTAAGATGGTTTTTCATTACCATTCTGTCAACCACCATCACCACCATTGACGATTACCATAACCAACAATTACCACTAGCCGCTACCATTAATAGCTATATAAACTGTTGGAATTATTCATAATGCAAAGTCAATTTGAAATTCCATTTACAACCAATAGCCATGAGTTTTTTATTTATTTTTCAAATGTCCTATCTATTTCCAAGCGGCCTCTTGCATGAAGCCTTAAAGCCAAGTGTTGAATGGCCTTGACAAATAGCTATGCAAATCTACCATATGTCTTCGTGCATGGAAAATAAGATACACTTGTCAATATTGGAGCCAAATGGACTAATATAATGGGACAAGTGTCAAAAGACTCTCGACACTTGTCATACATGCAAACTCCTTAATTGCCTATAAATAGGTTATGGATTAGGCATCATAACCACTCAATCTTAACCAAGAATCCATCTTGCTAATCATTACTTTTCTTCCTACAACATTCTTTAATTTCTGTAACAATTACATAAAATACCTTCATCTTCTCTTCTTTCTGGGCAACTGTTTTGTGCAAATTCTAAACTTCCAGCCACGAATGCACGTGTTTGGAGGTGCTGTGGAACCTTGGGGAGCGACCGGCCTTAACGATTTGCACCTAGTCGGGCCGAAATCGCTTTCAAGGTAGTAGCTTGCCACGACCCAGTATTTTTGATAAATTGTTCTTCTTTCCTTCTTGTTCTTAGTCAATATTATTTATTCATTTTTCTTACAATTTGAAAGCGATTTCATATATAATATTGACTAATGTCCACCACTTTGAACAAAATATTTCCTGATCTGTCAAAAATTGAGCCTTTAGATGGAAATAGTTATAAGCGTTGGTCCCAGAAACTTTTAATTTTCTTTGAATAATTAGAAGTTGATTATGTTTTGTTTAACGGTCCTCCTACTGATATTGTTTCTGATAGTTCTAATGCTGCTAATATTATTATTGTTGCTGATGATGCTGCTAAGAATAAATTTGAAAAGGATAATAAAACAGTGAGATGGCATCTGCTTAACCATATGACTAACTCTCTATTTGATTTGCTTATAAATTATAAATCTGGTAAAGTCACATGAGGACTGAGGAAGCAAACCGTCTCAAAGATGAGGAGTCTGAACGGCTTAAGGATAAGATGAAATATCTCTCTCTCTCTCTCTCTCTCTCTCTCTCTCTCTCTCTCTCTCTCTCTCTCTCTCTCTCTCTCTCTCTTAATTCTTCTAAAGCTAACCTTGTGGAATTTTCTGGTACTTTTGTGAAAGACGGGTTTAAAGGAAAACAGAAGAAAGGACATATGAAGAAGCAGAAATACTTTAATAAGCCGGAGGGCCATATTCAAAAGTCGAAAGGACCTTGCTATGTCTGCGGCAAAATTGGTCACAAGGCTTTTCAGTGTAACCAGAGACAAGGACAAAGCTCAAAGAATGGAGGAAAAGCTCCGGTCCAAGCCAACTTTACTGAAGGTGGTAATGTCATTGCTGCTGTGGTTGTTGAGGCAAACATGGTGGCTAACAAGACTGACTGGATACTGGAAACAGGCGCTTCAAGGCATCTTTGCGCCAACAAAGAGCTGTTTCACGACATTGAGGAATCTGGTGATGGCGAGTGTGTCTACATGGGTAACTCCACTACAGCTGGAGTTATGGGTAAAGGAAAAACTCTTCTTAAATTAACTTCTAGAAAAACTTTAGCTTTGAACAATGTTCTGTATGTACCCTTCCTTCGTAGAAACTTAGTTTCTGGTGCGCTTCTCAACAAGGTAGGTCTTAAACTTGTTTTTGAATCTGATAAAGTTGTTATTTCTCGTGGGGGAGACTTTGTTGGGAAGGGTTACCTTAGTGGGGGTTTATTTGTACTGAATATCGCTCAAGAGATTGCTAATGATGCTAGTACTTTCAATTCTGCTTATACTGCTGAGTCTATTGATTTGTGGCATGGTAGACTAGGTCATGTTAATATTGCTTCTATTAAAATACTTAGAAAAATGGAATTAATTCATGTAGTTAATGTTGATTATTTTTCTAAGTGTCATGTTTGTGTAGAAGCAAAACATACCAAAAGGCCTTTTAAGAATGTAACTAGTAGAAAAATAGAATTGCTTGAACTAGTACATTCAGACTTAGCAGATTTCAAGAACATTGTTAGTAAGGGTGGAAAGAAATACTACATCACCTTTGTAGATGACTTTTCTAGATACACTAAGGTATATCTTCTTAAGTCAAAAGATGAGGCTGAAAGCATATTTTTGAAATACAAGGCAGAAGTAGAGAATCAATTAGATAGAAAAATCAAGAGACTTAGGTCTGACAGGGGTGGTGAATATAGTACTAATACTCTAGAAGCCTTTTGTGAGGAAAATGGTATTATACATGAGATTAGTGCTCCCTATACTCCCCAACAAAATGGTGTAGCCGAACGGAAAATAGAACCCTTAAGGAAATGATGAGTTCTATGCTTTTGAGTTCAGGTTTATCTGATAATATATGAGGGGAAGATGTTTTATCTGCATGCTATGTTCTTAATAAAGTCCCTCATAAGAAGTTAGATAAAACTCCATATGAGTTATGGAAAGGGTTTGCCCCTAACTTAAAATTTTTGAAAGTGTGGGGGTGTTTGGCTAAGGTTGGTCTACCTGATTTTAAACAAGTAACTATTAGACCCAAGACTTTTAATGCTATTTTCATTGGTTATGCTCAAAATAGTGCTGCATATAGATTTATGTCTTTGAATGATAGTTCTATTTGTGAATCTAGAGATGCAGAATTTTTTGAGCATGTTTTTCCATTGAAAAATAATGTGCCTAGTGATGTGACTAATAATGCTTCTATATTTATGCCTGTTAATTCTCATATTGTGCCTTCTTCTAGTGTTACTGCTAATGAGCATGAAAATAACCTTAGAAGAAGCAAGAGGCGTAGAATTGAAGCTAGCTTTGGTCCTGACTTTATTACTACTTCTTGACTGAAAATATTGATTTTGATGTTTTGAGTGATGAATTAGTGTCAATCTATTTAATAGAAGAAGACCCTAAGACATACAGTGAAGCAATGAGGTCAATA